ATACAAGCTACCATACCCACCCCCTTGGGACACCAAGGGGTACATACTGCATAGGGCCCCGTACATCCTACGGATGGCCCTGTCCCAACCTGTTCTTACCACGATGGCTCATGCCACCCAACGAGAGAGGAAAGCCAAGCTGGGCCAGGCTTGTAGAATGGAACTTGAAAATTCATACTTTATGCAAAAGATTCCGCACTTTGATGACAGTGGTGAACAGAGGTGGGCAAGTGCTTAACTTTAAACAGGAGAGAAGGCCAATCAGTGGTGTAATTAAAGTAATGCTTAAACTTTCTGCTTTTGATTGCGGGTGTGCATGGGATTTTCAACTGGCACATCTCCCTGGGGTCAGAGCGGGGTTCTATTTCCCTCATTCAAACCACTGCCAATTCTGTTCATGGTTAGACGAGTATTTCAAATAGGTTCATCACGCAGGCAATGTACAAACAGACCCGTGGTTACATGTTGGCTGCTTTAAAAGGGCTCGATTGCCAATCTGGGAAAGAATTATGAGATGAATCAGCTGGGAAGAAGAACATTAGAAGAAAATTATCAGAAAATTGTATATTATAATGGGGAGTTCAGTAGATGCTCTAAAATTCACAGTCTTGCCATGGAGGGATTATTATGTCGTTGTTGTTATTATTATTATAGAAAAGGGGAAGTTTCTCATATTTAATATAATGCAGAAGTTAGGAATTGAAGAAAATGGATAAGGGAAGAAAGGGAAACAAATAGAAATTCATGGCCAACTGAATTAAGGACAATGAGAAGAAATTGTTCAAGTTTATTAGCACCAAAAATAACCCCAAAAATGCCATTGGTCCATTACTAGTAAATGGCAAATGATAATAAGGGGACATGAGAGCAGCTTTCAAGTTCCTAAAAGGGCGTTACAAGGAAGAGGGAGAAAAATTGTTCCCCTTGGCCTCTGAGGACAGGACAAGAAGCAATGGGGTTAAACTGCAGCAAGGGAGGTTGAGGTTGGATATTAGGGAAAAGTTCTTAACTGTCAGAGGGTATGTCTACACTACAGCACTAATTCGAACTAAGGGTATGTCTACACTACAGCGCTAATTCGAACTAACTTAGTTCGAATTAGTTAATTCGAACTAAGCTAATTCGAACTTGTGCATCTAGACCTAAAAACTAATTTGAATTAGCGTGTCCACATTGAGTGGACCCTGAACCGCGGTTAAGGCTGGCCGGAATCAGTGCTGGCAGGGCATCAGGTTAGGACTTAGAGCGTGGAGCTGCTGTCTCAGGCTAGCCGAGGGCTGTGCTTAAAGGGACCCTACCCCCACCCCGGACAGACAGTTCTCAGGGGTGCCCCGATCGCTTGTCTAACTCAATGAGGGACAGCAAAGCAGTCCTGGCTTGGAGTGCCCTGAGTGCCCACACTCGGCACATCACAGCACTCGGCCATCAGCCCGGCTGCACTTGCCGCAGGCTGCCATCCAGGGTTCTGAATTGGGGGGCTGTCAGGATCCAGGAGGCCCTGCAGAAGAGCTTCCACCCCGAGGAGCCCGCAGAGCCACCCCAGTCCTTCCCATCAAGGGCTCATGCCCCATTCCTCCCTCACCTCCTTCCACTTACCCCTCCTTAGCCCCCCTTCCTGCTGTAAAAAATAAAGGACACATGTTCAAAAATAGAAACTCTCTTTATTTAACAAAACTGGGTGGGGATTAACCTCTGGGGAGACTGGGAAAAGGAGGTGGGAGAGGGGAAGAGAGAGGGTGGGAGAGGGGAGGCAGAAACCTGGGAGGAGGGAGCTGGAAGGGGGAAGCCAGGGGAAATATCAAACTATGGTACGCCATATCTTCAGTACTGTGTACAGATGAGGTCTCCTCAACCCCAGAAAAGATATTTTGGCCTTGGAAAAGATTCAGGAGAGGGCAACTAAAATGATCAGGGGTTTGGAACAGGTCCCATATAAACAGAGGCAAATGTGGTCCTGGGTGGCCAGGCTGGCAGCTCTCCTGCCCTAGACAGCC